GAGTTGGGTTGATTATGGAGCTAAATTTTATCTTTTTTTTTCCTTTTTGTCTTTTTTACTGACCGGTAACGGCATCGCAACCCTTGGTGTCACGCCTGTACTGGGGACCGGCAACAGGATCGCAACCCTCGGTGTTGCGCCCGCACCGCGCTCAGCCAGTGAGCGGGAACCGGTCTCCACATGGGATCCGAACCCTCGGCGGGAGCGCCGCCGCACTCCCAAGCGGCGCACTCTCCAGTGCGCCACCGGGCCGGCCCTAAATTTTGTCTTTTAACAATATGTTCCCACTCATTTTGATGAAGTTTTTTTTCAGTGATGGGTACATAAGAAATGAGTCTGGATGAAGGAAAAGGAAATTCGGGTTTCCTGTCTTGTGCTCATACTGGGGCATGCACTCATGAAGTGGAGTAGTGGGGAAAATTACTTGTACTATTTAAATTATTTCTTTATGTTTCTTTCTTTCTTTCTCTTGCTTTCTTTTGTGTCTGTATAGCATGTAGAAATGAGCTTTCTTGAGCTGAATGCATGTATGACACAATTGTGCTGTTAAGAGGGGCTACTGGAGAGGGAGCTAAAAGTATATCTTCTGAAATGCTGGATTTGAAGCGATTGTGTCTTTTCTATATGAAATATCACAGAAGGAAGTAGATAGTGGGGCTAATTAAAGTTTTAAATGGAAATTTGTTTTTAAAATAATTTTCTGAAGTATTTTCTAATCTAGTCCAGGATTAGTATGTTACTTTTATAAATACAAGCACAAACTTGATTTAAAGCACTTATTATGTTCCTTTTAATATCAAAAATTTTTTCAGCTTTTCTTCGGAACAGTTTAAAAAATAAGTATTTAAAGCATCTGCTTTTTAGTATAATGTTATGAAATAACTGCTTGCTCATGTCTGTAAAGATAGGAGAATATATCTTATCAACTATTTGCACTTCATTATTTTTAGAAAGTGAAATGGAAGATTCCTTAGATACCTCTTCTTCATCTTCAGCTTCAAATAGTTCAGAGGAAAGCAAAGANAGATGTCAGTTTAGAAAATGTGTGCACTAGAAGCAAAAATGGCAGGAAAAAGCCTCTCCATTTTGCTTGTACCACCTCTAAGATACTGAGTGATTGTGAGGGAGATGTAAACTGTGAAGTGCCAAATGAACAGTATGCCTGTAAAGGTAAGCCACCTGAACCTGACTCAGAAGGTGGTACAAAAAGTATTAGTCAGTCTTTAAAAGGAGACTCAGACTCTGAAGGTATGTTGAATTCAGAATACGAGAACAGGCATACCAGTAGTAGCAAAACAACTGTACCTTCTAAAACAAAAAATTCCTCTATTGGGTCTTCAGAAGAAGATTCAAAAAGCCATATTCCAGGGAATGAGATTGGTTTTTCTTCTGGATCAACATTGGCCCAAAAAGTTACTGCAGAGAATAACTTTGAAGAGGAACTGAATTATGGGCTACGCAGGTGGAATGGCAGAAGACTCAGGACCTATGGAAAGGCTCCTTTCAGTAAGACAAAAGTGATTCATGATTCGCAGGAAGTAGCAGAGACAGAAATAAAAAGGAAGAGATTGCATCCTGAATTGGAAAATATGAATTCTGATAAAACCAGGAGTTCAAAGTTTGGACNTCTGAAACTGATTTAGATTCAGGTGATGACAAAACAAAAGAAAAAACAAATAATTTTACGAGAGGTAATTCAGAATATTTATTTTGGTTCATTGATTTAATCTCACTGTCCTTTCTCTATTTCACATATTGATTTTATTTACCCTTGAAACTTCTCTTTGCTATTTCTCTGTACTCCATGCATTCTCTGTTAGCCTTTTCTGTTCATTCCTTTTATTCTTACATGCATACATGAATGTTTATTGACTACACTTAGTTTTTATTCACTTATCTGGCAATCTTGGCCGTAGCAACTATTTCCATTAAAGATTTCACTTCTGGGATTGGTGATGGGGTTATTGTATTGGACTTGGGCCTGAGAAAAGCAGAGGGAAGCACATTTATAAGCTGTAGTGATGATGGCTTAAGAAGAGGAGAGGGTAGGACTGGTTAAAAGGAATGTGGTAAGTAATAATAATGATAACAGCTGACAGAACAGTTACCGAGCTGTTTCTGTGTATCAGGACATTTTTCTAAACACTTTACATTATTAATCAGGTTAGTCTTCATATCTTTTATGAGGTAGATATTATTATCATCATTGTCCATTTTACAGGTAATAACTCTGGAGCACACAGTGGTGAAATAACTTGTTGAATTAAGATTGTACTTTGGTAAATGGGACTTGATAAGAAAAATACCAAGAACAAAAGGCAGCTAATGCTAGGATTAAAAGTAGTGTGATTGGAACTTGTGGAGTTAGGAAAAGTTCCAGGGAGGCTGTGAGAGTAAATGATTAGTTTGTATACCTTAGTGCAGTGGTAAACAGTTTAGTCTGTGTGCATGTTAATATTATAGTGTCAAGATAATTGCAAACTTGGCTGTTTAAAAAAAAAATTATAAAGTATCAGGGACATGGGATGTTATTGATATGAATGTGTTGTACTTGTGAATGGTGCTGAGGATGAAAAAGTCACTGCTTTAAAGTATTAAGTGGTATAGACCATCCCATTCACTGCCATCTCCCATCCAAGTTAATAAGAATTCTGGACTGAAATTGTTTAGAATGTTGAACATTTAGTTCCATTAGACTTACTCTTTTATTAAGGATTAAAAGAATACTCTGAATTTTTAGGTTCTACATCACAAGACAATGGACAAAGCAGAAAAGTTTCCAGGAAAAGGGTCTGTTCCAGTGACTCAGACAACAATTCAAAGGTGGTTAAGAAATCATCAAAAACCAAAACAGGTCTCCTAAGGATTACTCGAAGATGTGCAACTACAGCTGTCAATAAGATTAA